TCTCTCTCATTCTCTCCCCCCCCCTCTCTCTCATTCTCTCCCCCCCCTCTCTCTCTCTCTCTCCCCCCCTCTTCTCTCCCCCCCTCTCTCTCTCTCTCATTCTCTCCCCCCTATCTCTCTCTCTCTCATTCTCTCCCCCCTCTCTCTCTCTCATTCTCTCCTCCCCCTCTCTCTCTCTCATTCTCTCCCCCCCTCTCTCTCTCTTCTCATTCTCTCTCTCTCTCTCTCTCTCATTCTCTCCCCCTATTTCCTCCTCCCATTACTATTTTGGATGTAGTGATCATATCGCCTCTTTTTCTTCTACCTTCTAGTTTTTGCATATTTAATGCCTCTAATCTCTCCTCGTAGTTCATGTCCTTCAGTTCTGGGAGTCACTTAGTGGCATGTCTTTGCACCTTTTCCAGTTTGTCAATATGCTTCTTAAGATATGGGCACCATACAACCGCTGCATATTCCAGCTTTAATCTAACAAAGGTCGTGAAAAATTTCTTTAGTACTTCTCCATCCAGGTATTTAAAAGCAATTCTGAAGTTAGAAAGTGTAGCATAGGCTCCTTGCATAATGTTCTTAAAGTGGTCCTCAGGTGACAGTTTTCTATCTTGAACCACCCCTAGATCTCTTTTTTTTTCATCAGAATTCTTTGAAGATTTCTCACATAATTTATAGGTTGTGTGGGGGTCTATGTTCACCAATTCCACATTCCATAACATGGCATTTACTCACATTAAATTCCATTTGCCAAGTGGTGCTCCATATACTTATTTTGTCATTTACATTACTAAATTCATCTTTTTTTTTCAGGCCGTCAAAGGTACAGCCCTGCTCCTGTGCCAGGTAAGTCCACAACAGGCTCACCATAGCCCGTGCTACTTGGAACTTTTTGTTCCAAGTAGCGAATCTTAAACAACTGAATTCATCTTTTGCTATCTACTTTTGAATGACACCCATCAAAAATTTTAAAAATTTAAAAAAAACTAAAAATTTTAGTTATTGAAAGTGTGAATCGCTGCTTAAATTTCCAAAGATTGACACGGTCTTGCAGTATTGCTGACCTCATTCTCAACTTGCAATTAGGAATCCCATGTTCAGTCCTAGGTGGAACTGAAATGGTGGGACTGAAATGGTCAGACATTTCCTTTCATCTATTGTACTGTTCATCTAGCAGTAAATGGGTACCCAGGAATCATTTAACTTGTGGGGTTGCATCCTGGGGCCCCCCTTGATACAAGCCCAAAATATTTATATGCATAGGCTTCCTGTCTCTGACAACAGGAATTATTAAATCTGGGGAACACATTTTTCAATAATTAAAACATTAATAACTTCATACAATTCATAGTGCATTTACAATGGTGAGAGCCAAGGCTAATACAGTACAGTACCTGTATTGATAAAATTATATATTAATGGCACTAACAAATAATGGAAAATCATTAAATTAAGACCAAGTAAACATAACAGTGAAAGGACACAGGATAATTACAAATAACAGCTCAACAATGTCGAAATGCACCAAAAGACCTTTAATGGGCCATGAATTAAGCATTTTAAATGCACACATTTTTAGAACCAGTCAGAATAAGAACAAAATATTCAGATTAAACCATTCTAACATAGGTATTTAAAGCTCCAAAAATAATGAATCCATACCTAATACTACACAGTACTGTACTCTTAATAGCACATATGTATATTAGTTAATATGTAATAGTTTTAAAAATAATTTAAATAAAGCTAATTGTGCATAATTGGAAGTCTAATTAATCTTTCATAAATTTTATCTGTCTTTCAAGAGTATTGTTGGTTTAAATTCACAAGGTGCACCTTATCATATATGAATACCAGGTGACCTATTAAAACTATTGGGCATTCAACAAACAAATGTTACCTTCCAGTTTAAAACATCATATTAGGTTAGAACATTTAAGGTGCATGTAGCTAACTGGAAAGAATTTTTTCCCCCTTTTTCTCCTCTATTATATAATTTATTTTTGTTAGATAATATGCCTAGTGAATAAAGCTGGTCACCTCAAGATGACTGATGTAGCACTATAAACAACAATGAAGTAAAAATAAAAATAAAATGGCAACACACGTTAGGGTATCATTTTCAATATACTGTACATGTAAATACATTGTATCTTTAGTGTTTAAGTTACCAGAAAAATAAATTTGGCTTTAGAGAGTACAATATTAGCTACCAATTATTGCTCGTGTTAAAATTCACAAATGCCAATTTAAGATTTAAATGTGTTAATTAAAAATGTAAATTTTGATGTTCATATTTTGAGTAGCCAGTACAGTACAGTACTGTATAGATTAACATTGTAGCATTACTGCATTATTGCTCATCTGGTGCTTTTAAGCAATTACTCCATTCATCGTGAAAATAATAAAAAATCTATTGTTTATTCCAGCCACATAGGATTAACCCTTAGATGATGGCTCACGTCAATTTATGTTTTTCAGTGTATGGAAATTTATGAGAATTGGGTTCTGCTAATAAATCTCTATCCAAGATTTGACATTTCTCTGGCTATTGTTACCAAATAATGATAATCCTTGCTCTTATACATATCCAGTTATTGTGAAGCATATGGTATCACTCAAAATTACTTAGTAAAATATTAAGTTTGCAACCAATTTTGGTACTTTCCTTCAGTCACACATATTCATTAACCTTTCCTTTTAATTATACAACGAAGTAAAATATGGGGTAACTTTCCTCAAAATTTTACGAACTGATATCAAGTTAAGTAAATTCTGTATATATCCAAGGACATTTATGAATGTTCCCCATTTCATATTTTTAATTTGGTTGGGCAGAATCTCAAATTAAGTTTCGTCAAATAACCTTAGACTTGTGCACTACAGGTTTAAAACTAAATAGATGTGCCAAATAAATTACAGTACGTTTCTAAACGCGCTTAATGCTGAGGACTATGTGGGAAACACTGGCATAGACTCATGTAATTAATAAACAGGAATTTAATGATCTGCCTTCTTCCCAAGGCACAAAGAATACAACTAATTAGCTTTGTTTTCTCAAATGTATTATTCCCCAAAATTTAAATGTTAGCACTACTGTATACTTGTGCAAGAATATTGAAATGACATGACATAGAAATGAACATGCTAATCTATTATATTTCTACATTATAGTAAATAAAACTTCTCCATTCATTCGATATTCTTATGGCTACAACCACTTTTTTTTTTTTTTTTTTTTTTTTTTTGAGATATACAAGAGTTGTTACATTCTTGTACAGCCACTAGTACGCGTAGCGTTTCGGGCAGGTCCTTAATCCTATGGTCCCTGGAATACGATCCCCTGCCGCGAAGAATCGTTTAAATTATTATAACTTGGCCAAAGTAATCGTTATACTAGAGCTTCTAGTTCCCGTATATATCCTAAAAAGATCCATTATTGATTATCTGTTGCTTTCTCATTTGTGCTAACATTTAAAATTAATAAATTACAATTTTTACAACTTTTATACAAGAATTTAGTGACCAGAATTTTGTAACGACTGTTTTGGGTGTTAATAGATTTTCACTACAGTAGTGTAGATGTGTGGTAATCAAAATCTACAAAATGCAGCACCTTTAGCCATAAACCGCTTAAGATCCATGTTAAAAAAAAAAAATATGGACTTTCAAGAACTAAACGGCTTTAAACCTCAAAATTACGGTAAATCCAACAGGTCAGTTTGATTCTTGTTACAAGATTCTTATAAAGAACACATGAATACTGCATTTTTAAATGCAATACTGCCAGTCTTGCAAATTTAATTGTAAATAACAGGAGAAAGCATTAGCAATTATCCTATTTGCATTAAAACATTCTAAATATTTGGCAGTAACTAAACTTTAATCTGCATTTGAAAGACTTAGCGCGCACACACACATTAATATGAGGTGTTATAAGTAATTATTAAAGGCAGCAAGCCGGGGGGAGGGCCAGGAGCACCATGTGACCCCAACACACACACAACACGGGGGCACATCTCATCATACCAGCCTCGTCGCCAAAATCAACAACTACAGTGCTGTTGTCAAGTCAATGAATCAGTTACAGTACCTGGAAATGGTTAGCTTTTTACACAAATATTGGGAGCGAGTTAGTAGAGAGGCCAGCCCACGTTACTGTACCTTAGCAGCCAACACTCCAAGCTAACATGACCCACTTATAATAGAGAATTTAAGCTAACCAGGCTCAAGTCAACAAAAATGCGTAGTTCCGCTACAATTTTAATCAGGTGTGCATAAATTGTAAAGTCAAACGAACTTGCCACACGAATTATGACCTTCATTAAGTAAAAGCATTCTCAAACATTCGACTTCCGTTCGACCCCATGGCCATATGAAGTACACCACTATAAAGCCCTCTTCCAACTTTTAAAAGCCCCCTTTGCTAAAACTATATCGTTCTTTATCTTACTGCGAATACAAAGGATAGATTACGTAATATTATGAATATATACTCTAAAAAAACCATTAGGCATCGTAAAGCATTTGTAACAGCTCCGTCAAGCAGCAGACGCCATTTAGGTTGCCCTCAAGTAACGAGAACCATCAGAACCGTTGTGAACGGGATGAAAGAAAGAGAATTTATAAATCATGTCGATGGCGGCAGGGCAACGAAACGTCGCCATGTCAGGCGGTGCAGCGAGTCCCGAGCCCACCACACTGGCACCCACCAGCTGGGGCCGCCCCCGCAACACACCCTCCACCCACTACTCTCACTTAGCACCTTATTTAACCCCTTCCACCTCCCCCGCCCCCACCGCCTCAAACTGCCTCTTACCATACATAACTTATCGAGAGCATCACTGATTTTTGAAAATGCCATTGAGGGCAAATGTGGTCAAAACAAGGTCGGGTCGGGCAATGTGCGTGTGTTGCGGGGACGGGGGTGGCGGCGCAGGGCGCATGCGTGCTGCCGCTGGGAGGAGAGTCGCTGTAGAGCACCCGCCACACCGGACCTGTGAAAATGTTTGCCTCACCCTCACCACATACCACATCACCACTGCCTACGCCGCTCTTGTTACCACACAACGTTGCTCTCCGTGCTGGAACCACTGTTTTGTGACTTTGAACTTCCTCTAGTGCTTTATTTGGGATAAAATAGACCGATATATTGTGGCCCACCTGACGGCCGTTGTCAGCCATGGCGGCCCGTATTAAGAGCTGTAGCTACGGTGCTGTGCTGGTAAATACCATTTTTAGGCTGATAAAGTGATTCGGTACATCCTCAAGATGCTTACATTATAATCTTGGTCTGTGCACGTCAATAATCTTCTTTTAATTTCTTCAATGGAGCGCTGCATGAGGCCGCGCGTGTGGTCACGTCGGCGCAGCGGTGGTGACTGGTCGGGGCGGCGACATGGACTGGCGGGACGGGGGATTGTGGGTAACTGAGCGAGCCGGGGAGTCGCCGAGCCCGCACGAGCACCGTGACGTCACCGTCACCTGCTGACTTGCGCCTCCCTATTGGTTGTGAGGCCGCCAGAAAGGCGTGATGTCACAGGGACGTCACGGACACATCACTGGTAGCAGGGCGGTGTGTGATCGGGAGGCGGGTGTCAGTGCCGGCCCGGGCCGCTCCTCTGCTGCACAGATCTGTACACCGCCGCGCCGCTTCGCGATAGTCACGTGCGTCGACTACGCCTCAGAAACTAAAAGTCTGAAAAGATAGAATAGTACCGAATTAAATGTCGTTTCCTTTGTAAATTGAATATATAATTTAAATTTATAAATATTTTTTTTACTTGAAATATCACGTGGTAAATTAAAACCACGTGCCGCAAGATTTCGATCATCCATTATTCCTAGTTTTGTCATTCAGTGTTACTCCTTCCTTCCAATACACATTTAATGAGGAATTGATGATGTAAGGTGTCTAGTTTCTTATTTCAGGCTGGGCTTGAAGAGAACCCACTCCAGGTACACCATGCTTATATGTGTGTGTATGGACGGTCTGCTCTCCCGGTGACAATTTAAGTGTTCTTGAATATTTTTTTTTACTTAGCCAGTAATGCTTCATATATATATATATATATATATATATATATATATATATATATATATATATATATATATATATATATATATATATATATATATATATATATATATACATACACACACACACACACACACACACACACACACCACTTTCAAAGCTAACATTTAAAGTCCTGCCTCATCCATTCCGCGGAGCCTGGCAGCTTGGCACCATACAGGGTGCTGTCGTTTCTGCTCAAGTTTGTTTTCCTGTCTGCATAAAAAAAAATTATAAATGGCCAAAATATTTAGACACGCTGACCTGAAAACTAATTGAACTCAGATATTTATAGCTTTCTTGCAACAAATTGGCTCTTAAGAGTAAAACTTCAGCCTATATTTATCACTGTAAAACACTACGTCAACTGACCTTCCCCCAGGAGGCAACCCACGACAGTTGCCTAATTCCCAGCTACCCATTTTCTGCTCTGTGAAGAGAGGCAGCAGGTGTGGAGAAATGTACCCAAACGTCTCCCCCTGCCATGGTATCGAACCATGGCTTTCACCAACAAAATCAGTTTTCAACTGTAAATCTGCTTCGTTGACCACTGAGCTTTTTCATATTCTTCAATAAATTTTTGGCTTACTGGTGATGTGCTGAAGAGCACTCATGCGTGTATTTTACTTTCTCTGGTTCTTTGCAAATACATAAATGATTGAGTGACAGAGAAAGGGGAAAAAAAAGAGGATCCTGTAGAACAGTGATCAGTGCAATAGGTTTGTAACAGAAAGGTGCCGGTTCGAAACGAAGGGCGAAAAGTACTGGGCACAGTTTCCTAACACTTGGTGCCTGTATTCACCTAAACGGGTAGCCGAAAGTAAGGCAAGTGTTGTCTGTTACCTTCTGAGAAAGTCAGTCGTTGGCCTAGGCGGGCTAGCAAGCTTCGTGTCCCTGACAGTCTGAAACCAAGCCAACACTGAAAAACTATCTGTCGATATAATTTCTATATATGGAAAACATTTATCTGAGCTTTGTATAACACGGATTCCTACCCCCTTTCCCCTCCCCGTATATAGCAGCACGTGCCCTAGTACCTGGATACTGACGGGTGTAAGGAATGTATAGCAGCACGTGGCCTAGTACCTGGATACTGACGGGTGTAAGGAATGTATAGCAGCACGTGGCCTAGTACCTGGATACTGACGGGTGTGAGAAATGTATAGCAGCACGTGGCCGAGTACCTGGATACTGACGGGTGTGAGGAATGTATAGCAGCACGTGGCCGAGTACCTGGATACTGACGGGTGTGAGAAATGTATAGCAGCACGTGGCCGAGTACCTGGATACTGACGGGTGTGAGAAATGTATAGCAGCACGTGGCCGAGTACCTGGATACTGACGGGTGTGAGGAATGTATAGCAGCACGTGGCCGAGTACCTGGATACTGACGGGTGTAAGGAATGTATAGCAGCACGTGGCCGAGTACCTGGATACTGACGGGTGTAAGGAATGTATAGCAGCACGTGGCCGAGTACCTGGATACTGACGGGTGTGAGGAATGTATAGCAGCACGTGGCCGAGTACCTGGATACTGACGGGTGTAAGGAATGTATAGCAGCACGTGGCCGAGTACCTGGATACTGACGGGTGTGAGGAGTGTATAGCAGCACGTGGCCGAGTACCTGGATACTGACGGGTGTGAGGAATGTATAGCAGCACGTGGCCGAGTACCTGGATACTAACGGGTGCAAGGAGTGTATATATATATATATATATATATATATATATATATATATATATATATATATATATATATATATATATATATATATGTCGTACCTAGTAGCCAGAACTCACCTCTCAGCCTATTATTCAAGGCCCGATTTGCCTAATAAGCCAAGTTTTCCTGAATTAATTTATTTACTATAATTTTTTTCTTATGAAATGATAAAGCTACCCTTTTCACTATGTATGAGGTCAATTTTTTTTTATTGGAGTTAAAATTAACGTAGATATATGACCAAACCTAACCAACCCTACCTAACCTAACCTAACCTATATATATAGGTAAGGTTAGGTTAGGTAGCCAAAAAAGCTAGGTTAGGTTAGGTTAGGTAGGTTAGGTAGACGAAAAAACATTAATTCATGAAAACTTGGCTTATTAGGCAAATCGGGCCTTGCATAGTAGGCTGAGAAGTGAGTTCTGGCTACTAGGTACGACATATATATATATATTATATATATATATATATATATATATATATATATATATATATATATATATATATATATATAATGTTGATAGCAGTCTTTCTTGCAAACATAAGTTATTGAATATGACCGAAAGGGTAAGATTGATGATTTAACACGAATCTGTCACAATATTTCTTATGTTTTTCTTCACTGTCGAGGGGAAGTTGAAAAATTAATTCTCCCAAGTTCATTTTCACACTATTATGGTCTGACGCCTAGGGATGCGTTTTGCAAGGTACTGCTTACATACCCAAAGACAAGTTTACCGTGTTTAGCACCGGATTATTTTATATTACTAAAAGTCTAGGATACTCGACTTTTAGTTAATTGGGTTCAAACCCTTAAGAAACATTCGTAACTGGCAGGCTTATGTCTGAATCTTGATACAAATAAAGCAAAATTAATAATTTACCTGATACCACTAATACTCAAGTGGCCTCGATGAGGGCAGGAAGTCGGCGGCTTGTCAAAAGTCCCCCAATTTCTCATGATTTTTTAAAGTTCAACGGTTTTGGCATTTACAGCTTCGGCGGATACTGATGAGTGTTTCATCCATTAACTCTGTGGGTGAAAAGTTATTTCCTGCTTTTTGTCCTACATTGGGGCTTGTTGACGTTGATACCGTTGCTCCTAGTTTGTGTTACATCTGACCTTTTGAACAAGATGCCTGGCTCAACATCTTCCAAATTGTTCGATATTTTAAGTTTCGATGAGATTAGCGCTGTCATGTCTGATTTGCAGTGTTGTTAGCCATCTGGTCCTCAACCATTCCTGGTACGAGAGTTAACTTAATTCTGGAATGATTTTTGCTGCCCGGTGTTGAACTTTCTTCAATGAAGCTGTCTTTCTGAAGATGAGGTCTCCATGCTTGGATGCAATAATGCAAGTGGGGTGGGGACGCACCAGAGATATAAACAATTACTTAACTACCTTCTTTTAGCTAAAGACGAAGGTACGCTTGATTATTCTTAGCATAGTATAGTATACATGTTGATTCTATATCACGTTAGCCTTCGAATGCCTGGATAAGCCGATGATATTGTTACAACAGAATTGGACAAAGTTAAGTCTACACTTGCTATTTATATTATCTTCACACTATCATGTTAGAAGAATTATTTTTATTTTTATTTTGTTTATTTACATATCTATTTGCCATCCATTAAAATCAGCAAACTGGTGATGCTAAGGCTTGACTCCTGAGTACATCTGGGAGTTAGCATTGCCTGCTGGTGTAGGGCTGACTATATGTAAACTCAGTCAAACTCTTCCCCACATTCTTGATAACGTTTCTCTGGTAGTCGCCTACATCTATTTACCTAGTAATCCTAACCGAGTCAAGGGCCAGCTAGTAGCTATTTATTTAAAGGAGACCTTTTCGTATTTCTCTTCATATTTCAACAATGTATTAAGGTAGCTTCAACTTCTTGTACTGACTTGTTATATTTATTCACCACTTATTTTGAATAGGCTCTTATGACATGACATTCATGTTTCCTCTGTCTCTTCTTCCCCACTTTGACGATTTTGTCAATTCTCCTTTTCGCCTTAGAAAGATACTTTGAGCGTTGTAACTACTGCATACACTCACGAATATTGTAAAGTATTATTGTGGTATACCCAGAGTTTGCAAGTGCTGGCTAAGACTAGGCTCGCATGTCATGTCCTCCCCTGATTCCATGTATGACTAACCATATACTGCGAGATGGGGATATTATATGAACTCATACCTAGCTCTTGATCTTACTCTGTAAATCTTCATATAGAATAGGATAACAGCACAATAATCCTGCATGTACTTATGAAAGCTGCTTAATAAAAAAGTTATATCCCATTCTCTCAGTTTTACTTCTAATTCACTTCTGTCAGCTCGGGTCCCCCTACCGCAATGATCAACACAATTATTTTATAACTGGATGGTCCTGGGTTCAGTTCTCGTGCGCTTGAGTACATTTCAGTTGCATCCTGGGAAAGGTTAGTCGTTGGCTCAGTGAGGCCTCAATAATTCTAACACGTCTTATGTCTTGGACAATGGGAAACCATCAGGAGAATTTCTATGTTATTTGTTCAAACGTGTTCGTCAGACACTGTTCAACATAGCAGGCCAATTACACCTGATTAATCTTTGGGATAGGAGCT